GTACTACAAGGTATGGGCCAACCAACGTCCTGGACATGAACGCTAGAGGCTTATTTTTTCGGGGGTCAAGCTCATCGAAACCCACGTGGAGGAAATGTTCAGCATCATCTACACGCCGACCGAGGGAGATGCCATTCAAAACTACTCGAGTCTCTTCAGGCGGCCGCAGGGCTGTTATCTGAGCATCAATGACCCTGACAGAGTGCTTCCAGATTTGGCACAATGGGGCAGGCCGGAAGATATCGATTACATCGTCGTGACCGGTAAGCCCCACACTCTTCAGATGGCATCATCGAAGAGCATCGTGTTAACCACCCATGTGAAGATGGCGAGGAGATTCTAGGCATCGGAGACCAAGGCGTGGGCGGCATACTGATTTCCATTGCCAAGCTTGTGCTCACCACCCTCTGCGCTGGCATCCACCCCAGCCGCTGCCTGCCGGTCGTACTCGACTGTGGAACAGACAACCAGGAGCTCCTCAAGGATGAGCTCTACCTCGGGCTGCGGCAGAGTCGTGTCAGGGGGCGGCAGTACGATGAGTTCGTCGACACCTTTGTCAACTCAGTCCGCAAGCTTTACCCCCGAGCCTATCTGCACTTCGAAGACTTTGGACTACGCAATGGTGAGATATCCCCCCTCTTCATCCTGGATCACGGCTTCTTGTAGCTAACGGCAGTGCAGCAAGGCGCCTTTTGGAGTTGTACCGGCCCAACATCCCGTGCTTCAATGATGATGTACAAGGAACTGGCTGTGTTACTCTGGCAGCCATCCTAGCCGGTTTGCACGTCAGCAAGCAGAAACTCGGCGATCTTCGTTTGGTGGTCTTTGGGGCTGGCAGTGCGGGGGTCGGGATCGCGGACCAGATCCGCGATGCGATTGCGGCCGAGTGTGATATCTCCCATGAAGAGGCCTCGAAGCAGATTTGGTACGCTCCAAGTAACTGTCCAACGCAAACTCTTAATCTAACGAAGATCACGCAGGTTGATCGACAAGCCAGGCCTCCTCACGACCGAGACGGAGCTTTCCGACGCGCAGAGAGGCTTTGCCAAGGACGCTTCCTCCTGGAACGACCAAGGCAGAGACCTCCTCTCCGTGGTGAAATCCGTCCGGCCCAACGTGCTCATAGGGACATCGACCGTCCCCGGCGCCTTCACGGAAGAAATAGTGAAGGCCATGCACGAGCACGCACCCCGACCAATCATCCTGCCCCTCTCCAACCCAACCCGCCTGCACGAAGCCACGCCCGCCGACCTGCTGAAGTGGACGAGTGGCAAAGCCCTCGTGGCCACCGGCTCGCCGTTCGATCCTGTCTCAGGCCCGTGGGGTGCAAACGGCGAGGATGTCTCAATCGACATTGCCGAGTGTAACAACTCTGTTGTGTTTCCCGGGATCGGGCTGGGCTGTGTGCTGTCCCGCGCGAGGCTCCTCACCGATCGGATGCTCGTGGCCGCGGTTGAGGCTGTGTCGTCGATGAGCCCTGCGCTCCAGGACCCAACCGCTCCTCTTCTCCCGGGGGTGTTGTCCGTGAAGGAGATCAGCGTCCGGGTGGCGAGGAGCGTGATCAAGGAGGCTGTGGACGATGACTTGGCGACGGAGAGGGACATCCCAGAGTCCGATGGGGACCTGGACGAGTGGATCCGGGAGCAGATGTGGGAGCCCAGATACCGGCCATTACGACATGTTCAGATGGAGGGTGCCACACGATCAGCCCGAGGAGAACTTATGAAGGCTGGCTCGGTTCGTAGGACGGGCACATTCTAGAGACTTGTTTGTTTGGGATCATCCAGGAGAGGCAAGCTTGCACATAACATCGCCGAGACAGCGGTAGGTAGATATATAACGATTAGAGCAAACAAAGAGCAGCCCTGCCAAAAACTCCAGTAGACCGTGAGAAAACCAAGAAAGGTGGGGGATCAATAACCAAAGACACACGAAGCGAGATATTCTTAGAGCACACCAGCCCTAGCTGCCTCTCCGCCACCCTCTAGGATCACTTCCTCAGCCCTCTTCTTGCCCTTTCCGATGCCTCCTTCACCAAGTCCCATTCTTCGTGCGACATATCTCTGGGCAACAACACCGACAGATAGGCTCAGGATATCCTCAACCCAGGCGGCAACCCATTCACGAGGATCTTCGCCGCCACTTTCAATAATCTCCTTGATATCCTCGGGGATAGTCTCGTAGATTGTCTTCTCATCATCCTCGTCCCCAACGGATTCCAGCCAGTCAAGCCATTGAGATGGGATATTCTGACTAACAGTAGAGAACTGGATTTCATGGACCGGATCGAGGATGTAGACAGCAAAGCAGATGAGCTCCTCTGAATCACCCTGATCCTTGACGGCAGAAGCTTCCTTTGCCTTCTCCTCTGAGGCTGTGCCAGCAAACAGAGCCTTGTCCGTCTCGATGGCGATCGCCTGAATGGCCAAGAACAAATCTGATGTTCGCACAGGATTGCTCTCGCTGTAAGCCTCTGTAGCACGGATCTTGGCTCCCTCGATCCCGCCGTGTGCAGCAAAATATTCCTGCGCATAGCTCTCGGCGTTCGCACGGCAGAGCTTTGTGCCCTCGACGAGGCCTACCACAACGCCCAACTCGCGGGGAGAGTCAACCTGCCTCCACCAAGGTCCGTCGCGCCAGCCGGCAACAGTCTCGCTGGGTCTTCGAGAACCGTTCTCCCGGCCGCGCTGAACAACAAGAAGCTCACCTCCTTCAACTTGATCCATAACACGACTGAAGACGGCCTGGGTCAACGGGTTCATTGAAGGGTAGCCGACGAGGTCGTGGGTGATGTGGATGAGGAGGCGTTCATGGGAACCGATTGGGGGGGCGAGGGTATGGAGGATATTGGTAAAGGTTGGCAAGGCTCGCTGGCGAAGCTCATCACCTACGCTGGTCAGCACACCCTTGGAGTGTCTATAGAAGATAGTGACTTACCATAGTTGCGCAAAGCACCAACATCAAGACCCGGAAAGCCCCTAACCTGGTCGGTCCATTTCTTGGCCTCTTCATTTTGCTTGATCTCTTCGTAAGCAGCGCCGGCTTGCTTCATGGCCATTGAGGCTGTCGCAGATGCAGTTGAGAAAATGCCACCCCACCAACCTCCGCCAGCCTGCTGTTGCTGGGTTTGTTCTGCCGGTGCCCTTTTCTCGGATTCGTGCAACTCGGAACTCGTTGCGCTTGGCGTGAGGACTGCCTTGATGCTGCGGGCACTATCGGTGGACTTGCGCGCGGAAATCTTATCGTCTGTCGAGGGAGGGGTAGCTGCAGAGCGCTTCGACGCAACGTCCCTGCTGAGTCGAGGCGTATGAACACGGGAGGGGGGCTTTTGAGCAGCCAGCTCTGACTCGATATCGGCTAGGAAAGCATCGTCCTTGGCCTTGGTCTTGGAGGCAGCGGTGGATTTGGTCTTGCCAGTGGATGATTTCTTGGTCGTGGTGCTGTCTCCGAGGCCTGCAAAAAGCTCATCTAGGTTGTCGTCGGCCGCGCTGGCCTCGGGCTTCTTGGAAGTCATGGCTTGTAAGTCACCGGGGTTCCCAGGATGAATGGGGGAGGGGAGTCGGGTTAGGTCGAGGTGAAGGGCGTTCTATAGACACAGTAACACAATAGAGCCCTCAACAGCTCAGGTGAATGGACTGTGAGCAGATTTGCAAGGACTCGCAGCCAAGTCTGATGAGGAAACAGATTGTTCTCAGGGGTGGGACATGTAGTCTGGATGGAGGGGTGGGTGCAAACGTATAATGTAATGCAGATGAATGGACCAAAACCCCTTGAGAGTTGCTGTCGAAGCTTCGCATATAGCTAGTACGTAAGGTAGGTGGGATTAGGTCATAAGGAGATGCAGCCGGTTCAGTGGCTCCAGGTGTCCAGTTTAGGCTTTGCAGGTCTTTGGAACGTATTTTACGGTTGGGGCTGGTAGTGCCTACCGGCTGACCAAGGACTTCACCTCTCTAGAATGATGCAGATTCCAATGGGACCAAGTACCGAAGCATGAAAATAGAATAGCGATGCACTGGCGCATCGATTCCCACAGAAAATGTATTGAGCAGTAATACATTGGGCGATTCACTTGGATTAGACAGCCGCTGTGACAATGACGCTGCCTTCCTCACCACTCATTCACTCGAGACAATAATACAATGCCCGGTGCTCAGTTTCTCCCACGAGGCATGGGCCTAGCCAAGCGCGGCCTAGCGTTTCCGACGCGTGGCTGTGATTGGCCAGAGGTTGCCGTAGACAGACTCTTAGGGGGCTGGTGTTAGGTGCTCTCGCTGCCAGGAGCTGGAGACAAGTACCTGGGTACCCGGCCCAACGTGTACCCTGCGCAAGGAGCGTGCCTGTAGCGCGCCTCACCGGGCGTGCTGGTCCCCTAAAGGATACGTACCAGGTACTTGCTGGGTTTGAAGCGGGTCCTGGCTTATTCGCACCACGACCGACACCTCCCAGAACAACCAGAAAAGCCAGCCAAGGAGACATTCATACACTTGAACAATCACAGCAAAGCCGCGCTGCGCAAAGCACCTGGTAGATTTCCATTCACTTCGCATTCTGCGGTGGCTTCATCTGCTGGATTCCTCTACCTTCACTACTTCTTGCCAAGGCCGATAATTGCCTTTGCCTCTTGTTCCATCGTCCCTTTCTTTCTTAATTCATCAAATTTCTTCCATATCCTGGCAGAACCACAACAACTTTCTCTCACGCCCGCGGGTCAAGACATACACTGCTGGCCGGGAGCCATTTGCATTTCATCCTCACCAGATACCGGAGCATTCTCTGCTTCTTTTCTCTTTTCATTCAAATCCCGCTAAACATCTCTCGCCTCGCGAGCCTCTTCCCGCATGTCCTCTCTTACACCTAAATGGACCACAAATAACTCCCTTCATCTTACACCCAGTCCTCACCTGCACCGGTGTCGCCACTCATCACGGTCTGCTTTCTCAAACGCTCGTGCCTAAGAGAGAGAGAGAGAGATAACTACACGTCTCTCTCTTGATTCCATCATGAAGCGCTCAAGCCGGACGGCTTCACGCCGCTTTGGGTTTGCTGCCGATTCCGCGTCTCCAACTTCGCCGTCAAAGCCATCATTTGACCACATCTCACACCCTGGCCAAGGTGAGCCTCACAACACCCAAAACTCGCCCATGGCTGCGCCAAGAGATGATGCCGATGGCGAAAACGCAAAAACACCAATCGTCCCTTGGATGCGACGAGCTCGTCGCAATAGCCTCGCTGCTACTCCCACATACCAGGGCTCATCAGTAAAAGACGAGCAGCACGGGGACAGTCCTGAGAAGGGCGGCCACAGTCTTCGAAAGCGCGCGCGCGTTAATTACGCCACGGAGCACATCGGAGAAGATTTGTTCGCCCCAAGCTCTACGGCGCCTCGCTCAAGAAAACGCAAGCCCTACGGGTTTGAGGACCCTGAGGATTTTTCCGGCCCAAAGGCCAAGCGGCGGAACACCTCATTGAGTGTGGACACACCCAGCACTCGCCGACGCAACCCTGCCCGCAAGCCGGCTGAGCCCAAAGAATCCAAGTCCTTTCCCACCAACACCAGCTTCGGCAATCATTTCAACGATGATAACGATATCATCCGCGACACTATCGAAGTTGGCCTATCGCCATCCGACATGGAACTAGTTGACTCGGATGAGCTCAGCAGTGTTGGCAGCTCCCCATCTCCAAAGCAGGAGGATGATGCGCACGACAAGGACGCAGAATCTTCGCGTGCTCAGTCCAATGACTTCGGGAAAGATGTTTCCAGCGAACCTACCAAAGAGCCCGAAACCAAGTACCCTACCATCAAGGAGACTGGGATCGGTGCACGAGAGCCTAATACCAAGGCATCTCATGTCAAGTCGGCTGTCAAGCCAGGAGAAGCCAGACCAGTCTATATCGCTACTATTAAATTCAACTTGGCGAAGCATCTTGAGCGGGAAGCCATGCAAATTGCAACCAAAGCAGCAACTGTAGTCATACCGGCAGCGCCCAAGCCAACAGATGTCAAGAAAGATACAGTTGAGAAGACGGAAGCAAAGGATCCCGAGTCAAAGCCAAACCCAGTGGAAACTCAAGCCCAGCGAACAGGCCCGGTTGAAACAGAGGTCAAACAATCCGACGTCAAGGAACTCAGCACTGATGAGCCTATTTTGAAGGAGACTGAACCCATCTTGAAGGAGACTGAGCCCAAAAAGGTGGATTCAGATGCCATTGTGCCTGAAGAAGCCAAAGCTGGGCAAGCTGAACTGAAAGAGGCTCAACCTAAGCATGTTGAACTCGATGAGACCACGAGCAAAAGTACCGAACCCGAAAAACCTGTGGCTCAGGATGCCGAGCTCAAGAGTCCCGAGACCAAGCTTGCGCCTGAGGAGCCTCAAGAGCCCAAGGATAATGCCAACGCTGCTGAAGAGTCTAAAGTAACTGATTTGGACATGAAGGATGCCGAATCCATCATCGCTGATAAGGACTCAGATGCGAAGGATGTCAAACATAGCACTTTGAGTACCAATGCTCCCGAGGCTGTTCTCAAAGGGGCTGACTTGGCGGTAAACGAACCTGAAACGAAGGCCAAGGAGCCTGAAACCGAAATAAAAGAGGCGGGACCCAAGGATGCCCACGTCCAAGGAGTTGATGTCGCCAGTACCGAAGTCCAAGCCACCGAGCCCAAGAGTGCTGAAGTACAAGTCACTGAGCTCAAGAGTGCTGAAGCACAAGCACAAACCATCGAGCCCAAGAGTGCTGAAGTACAAGTCACTGAGCTCAAGAGTGCTGAAGCACAAGCACAAACCATCGAGCCCAAGAGTGCTGAAGCACAAACCATCGAGCCCGATGAGGCTGAAGTACAAGCCATCGAGCCCAAGAGTGCTGAAGTACAAGATACTGAACCCAAGAGTGCTGAAGCACAAGATACTGAGCCCAAGAGTGCTGAAGCACAAGGCACTGAACCCGAGAGTGCTGAAGTACAAGATACTGAGCCCAAGAGTGCTGAAGCACAAGGCACTGAACCCGAGAGTGCCAAACCCCAAGAGACTGAACCTAAGAGTATCGAGATTGGAGAAGTTGAACCCAAAGATACCCAAACCATTGAGTCTGATATCAATGGCGTCGAGACCAAAGCCAGCGGGTCGAAAGATGTTTTGATGAAGGACGCTGGAGTAAATGACAGCACAGTCCAGGATGCTGGGGTCAAGGACATTGAGCCGAATGATTCCGAAGCCAAAGATGTTGAACCCAAGAGTCTTGAAGTCGCAGACGCTGCGGTCGAAGAATCTGAAACCAAGGGCTCCGAAGTCGAGAAGCCCAATGATCAGGATGTCAAAGTCCCCGAGTCCCCTTCAAAAGTTGCCACACCTGAGAACACGAATATTGCCGAAGACCATCCAATGGACACCGAAAAGACAGAGGTTTCCGAAATCAAAAGTCAGGACGTCACGCTGGAAGTAGCTTCTACTGTGGAATCCAATCCCATTGAAGCTGAGATTGATCAGATTCAATCACCACGTGCCGAGATCGCGAATGAGGAGACTGATGCGCAGATGAAGCAAACTGAGTCTCACTTGGTCCAGGGCGAGGACACCGAAACTAGTGTATCGGGCCTCAAAGATATAGCCCAACATCCAGTTGAGACAGAAGATGCAGAAATGAACGAGGCCGGTTCCTCTCAGGAGCATCAACTCACTCAAGAAAAGCCCGACGATATTTCCCATGAAGAAAATACCCCAGATAACGAAGAGGGGCCCAGTGATCAGGTTCGACAAGCCCAGGCCGAGTCCCAAGCCGAGACGACCGTTAGCTCTGCTAGCCAGGAGCTACATTCGCCAGCTGGCGACTCCTTTCAAAAACCAGACGAAACAATGACTCCTCTGACCCCTACGAAGCAAGAAGGACCTAAGTCTTTGTCGTTTCCGAACAATTCTGACAAAGAAGAGCCTAGAACTCCAGCTTTGTCCACTTCCGGTCAGAACATTGTTGAATCTCCGCAGGATACGACTATGATTTCTCCTCCACGAATCAATGAAATACCCTCTAATGCTATTGCCAAGAACGATGACCAGGACCAGTCGGTTTTACATCAACAAACTGATCCTGAAGTTGTGGACGATAACTCAACAGCAACATCGATAGCCACCCCAACTGAACCCAACGTACCCGTTGACACAATAATGGCCGACACTGGTGAGGAAGAAGTTGGCATTCTACAATCTCAACCCGTCTTGGAGCAACCAACACAACCCACAAAGTCTCTCGAAAGCCCATCGAAGAAACCCATCCCTGCCCCAGTCGGCCGATGGTCTCACCTCACACCCTACGTTGACGGTGAATTCACTTCTTATCCAGAGAAAAGGGAACGATCCGAGGATGATGATGGCAGCGAGGACCCATCCCAAGAAAACACCAAGGAAACCAATGATCCCGATGTTGTCGCGGACGACAATGACGACCTGCCTGACGTTGGGGCCTCTGAATTACCAACGGGCGCTCTCAACACACCCACCCGAGGGTCACCAATCCCTGAGTCTTTGAATATTGACACCTCTAACTCGCCCGCGCCGGCAAATGATGACCCTGATGACCCTGAGATCGCTGAGCCGCAAGAGCCCCTGGAACGAGCACTCCGTTTCAAATATCGCAAACTTCGGAATGCTGATGATTTCATCTCTGTGATTGACAATTATGAGAGTATGAAAACCGAAGATCTCTATGAAATGCTACAGGCAATCAACGTATCCCTCGTCGAATGGCAGGATGAGTGGTCTCAGTTGGGCAAGGTGGTTGATGACTTTGAAAACGCCTCCCGCAGACGGATTGCAGATTCCAAGTACGAGAGTCGCACTCGGAACCTCAACCAACATGGTATCAACTTCGAAGAGCCAGACTTTGCTGTCAAGGGATACAAAGCAAAGGAGAGAGAGATCATGAGTGAAACCCGGTATCTGCAACAGCAAGACCGCACTATGGCAGCTGCTTACGGTTTTGAGTATGATCCTCATCCTTCAAAGATCGGCCGCCAAAACCCGGAAACTCAACAGGCAGGCGTCACAACGCGTGGCAGGGCACTTCGCAATCAGCCAAGGCAAACCGCCAAGGCCACTGAGGCTGACGGCGTCACAGGCAAGAGGCAACGCAAGCCTGTTCAACTGTTTGATCCCGCTACTCAGGATATCAGCAGAAGTTCAACACCTGCGCCAACCCGCGGCAAACGGCGGAAACTCACCGAGAATGATGACGCCCAGTCCATGCCCACATCCAGCTTCAATGAGGACGGCATATCAGATGTTGAAACAACTCCGAATACGCGAAGAAGACGTGGCCCTCGTGCCAAAAATTCAATGTCGAAGTTCGATGGCCTATCCTCTCAGGGTCAAGATCAACGCGAGGAACCACCAAAAAGTACTGGTCGCCGGGCCAGAAACAAAACATTCGCCCCAGAAGACGAGGTGGACAAGCCTAGGCACTATGATGATATCGATGGCCAGGATGAGGCCAAACCCCGTCGCCATATTCTCACTCTCAAAATTCCCAAGGGCACAACTATTAGCGACACCGCCTCAACAATTGAAGATAATGGTGACTTGAGGCCCTCTACAGCATCTTCGGACTCGACCACCCATACGGTTGAATCGTCCTACTCGTTCAGGCCTAAACGCCAAAAGAGGTTCAGGGACGAGCCGGACAATGGAGACGAACCTACACAAGCACCAGCCAAGAAGAGGGGTAGACGAAACAACGTTGACAACCGGGGAGATTACACTGTGGGTGAAGGAGGCTCCCTTCCTTCTGAGAACACATCCAATGTTGGCACTGGCCGCAAGGCTCCTAAAATCAAGGTCATGAGGCCCACTCAAGAGAGCCGTAACGGCACTCCAACATCACAGCCTACAACTGAAGGTGGTGACGATCAACCCAAAGACTACAGAGCAATGACCAAGTCTGAGAAGATGTCAGCGTCGATGAAAAGTAAGTACCCATCCCCTCATATTTAAATCAAGGTTTCTAACCAACTCTCTACTAGACCGCTGGGCAAACGGCAACATGGCCGGCGCGGTTGAGAAGCGCAAGGCCACCCTTGCTGCTAAAAAGGCCGCTCAAGTGGCAGCCGAGCAGAAGGTTGGACTCATTGCGCCTAAGCAGAAAACCAACAAGCCGAGCAAAAAAGAGCCCACTCTTCCAGGAGAAAATCCTGGATTTGTGCATTCACCTCAATTCCCACAAATTCCCCCAGCTCAGCAAGGAGCCCAGCACCAACATGTGACTCAACATCCTCAAACTCATCCACACGACCTTCCTCCTATGGGAATTCCTTTTCCATCCTCGAGATAAAGAGCAAATGAGCATCTGAGAACAAAGATTCATGTTGAGATCTTCGATATCACAAAATCGTCGTTTGCAATGCTATATTTACCGAAGGGCCTTCGCCTATTCAAAGCAGCAAAGGCCGCCCTCAACAAGCACTACTGTATCACCACCATCAACGTCATCATTCTTTAGATCCACGTTCATACTTTGAATTGCTCAATTAAAGAGCTACCACTATATGCCGCCTCGCTTATTTTATCACCTTCGGCAGCCCTGGCTACTCACACCACGGTGTTCACGACATTAAACACACTTAGCTTTTGGACAAGTTCTGTCGTCCTCTTCTTCAGCCTCTTCTTCTTCTGTCATCTTGCTTTAGCGTCGATTTTGAGTTTGTCTTTTTTTTGCGTTCGTTAAAGCCTCTTTGAAAGTGAGCCTGGCATACAGACCTGTCATGAAACACGCATGCATTGGTCTTCTGGCGTCGAGGCGCAAGGTGGAATACAAAAATGGACTCTCTGCGCAACATTTTGGAGGACAGAGAGGATATGAACAAGGGTCTTTGCCCTTTGGCTTTATTGTATACATATATAGCACAGCGTCTGAAGTTAATTCTATAATTCATTCAACCGAAACGTTTTAGTGTTTTGCCGTGATCCAATCGTTGACTGCCAGCAAATAGCTACTCTTAAGGCAAAACAACATCTCCCTCGTCAAACCCCTGCTTCATATGCTACGTGCAGGAGAATTGTATGCACTGTACACAAAGGCGACGTCACAAGGGTGGAGGAACAATGAATTTGAAGTGACCTTTAAAGTGTTTTGATGTGATGCCCGGTTATGAATCATCCTTACACGCCGCAACCCAAATGCAGAGCACGCCAATCCAGCGACTGAAAATATTCCCGTCCCGTCGTTTTGTGGCCCAAATCTAGAATGTAGAAAAGGGGTGTGGGCGATCTTTCTCGCGCTCTCTAATCGAATCGCATGGGGACTCCCAAACCATACCTCTACTTCCTTCTTTCCTTTTATTCATTTAAAATCCCCTCACATCACGACACCAGAGTTGCTGGCAATACGCTATGGATCGTATTAGTAAAAGCCACTCATAATAAGCAAGAGTTAGGGGGAACTTACGGGCCACAGCTCAGCAGCCTCCTTACCGACGGGGCCGGTAATAGCAGAGCCCTTCATCTCACCCTTGGGGTTGACGATCTGCAGGGAAATTAGCACAAAATTCCGGGACCCAGAACTCTCCCTCGGGGAGCAGATATCGTAGATTGACATACCACACCAGCGTTGTCCTCGAAGTACAGGAAGACACCGTCGAATCGCTTCCAGGGCTTGGCCTGGCGGACAATGACGGCGGGGTGGACCTTCTTTCGCAGCTCGGGCTTTCCCTTCTTGACGGTGGCCATGACCATGTCACCGACACCGCCAGCGGGCAGGCGGTTCAGGCGGGCACCAATACCCTTGACGGAGATGATGTACAGGTTGCGAGCACCCGAGTTGTCAGCGCAGTTCATGACGGCACCGCTATGAGAGAGTCAGTTGGCTGAATTTTTTTATCATCGCAGGTATTGCTCGGCTGGGGCATCGAAGGGGGGACGTACACTGGGAGACCCAGGGTCATCTTGAGCTTGCCACCGGGGGCACCACGCCTGTGAGAGCATAGTTAGTGACTGGTGTCTTGGATGTAAATTATTCGAGAGCCGAGTTGTGCGACTGCGAGCGGTTGTTTGACGTCTGGCAACAATTTCTGGCCCTCCTGAACGAGTTTCGCCCATGATACACGGCGCCCAGGTGCCGTGGTGTTGAAATGCCTTCCCACCACCCAAGTGCGTCGTCGAAATTGTCGTCCACCATCTCCCCCGCTCTCAAAAGTTCAGCTCGCCAATTCCACCTCTTGCACGTCCGCTCGTCGCATAACTCGGCATTCGAATAATAACGACGGTATACTTACGAAAGCTTAGCCATTGTGTCGAGTTGTGTTGGGCGTTACTTCGTGGAAATGCTGTCTCGTCTGGAGATTGTCGTCGTGGATTGGAGCTTTTCGTTCGAAAATTTACCTGCCAATCTGTGGGGTGGGAAACCCTAGTGCGTGCAAAGGGTCGATTGTGCACGTGATGATAAGGCCTCTGTCGGCTGCTGACTTATCAACCCAGCCCGCCCACGGTTGCTTGGGAATTGGGTAAGCGCAAACGCCTAGAGGCAGGCGACCTGCTCCCTACCTGGACCTAGCAACTGGCAGAATGGGTCGCATATACCAAGAGTCTGGCCTTCTAAGGCGTTTGGCAGGCAATCTAGTCCCATTCTTTTTTGCACATTTACTCTCTATATAAGTCCAGCAGAGGGCCGCGTACGTAGATGGTTTTTCTAAGTTTTTTTCCTTTTTTTGTTTTCGCAAATCTGGTTCGAATTTCAAATGCAACAGAGGTTATCAAAAAAAGCGAGTTCGGACTCCTAACATACTGAGACCCCTTGTCAATCAATCTGAATACCCAAAAGACATCTCCAGCCAAGCTGAGACCTCAAAATTCATACATTCTGCCCAATGCCTCCTTCACATATCCATTGTTCTGTCGGGTCTTAATTCCATCGTCTCTCACCATCACTGCCCCGAGTTCCCGCCGTTGGCTGCGACTGGCGCAGCGGTGCTGGGGCTTGTGCTACCAGCTACTACGGTCATCAGCACTACTTGAAGTTCCGGCGGCTCGTTCAAATAGCGGGACAACGGGGAACTTTGTAAGTTAGCCTCGAGCCTCCATCTTGAACGTTTAAAGCCGACTTACTCCGACGTCGATGTCGAGGGCGATGACAATTGCTCCGGCATATTTCTCTTTTGTTTGGGAAGAAGGACTGAGCCGCAATTGAGTTTGTACTTGTGAAGACAGATGACCTTGTTCACAGGAGAGGATGTGGTTGCAGGGTTCAGGTTTGACCCTGCTCGAAAAACCCGGGCAGCCACTTTTATATCTTTCCAATGACACTTTCGGATATTTAGGAGAAGCGAGTTTCCCGTGGAGCAACGCAACTAACGCGGCTCACGCCAACGCACCACCTCCTCTGAACAAGCTGGCCTGGGTTACCACCTCCCCACACAGATGATGAGGCTCTGCTCTACCTCCATGACTGGCCCAGAGCATAAGATCCGCATGCTGGGTTACAGCATGATTCCTTGGCCATGTTGCGGGCACCCATCAGGCCCCAGACCGACCTGCCTCATGGAGCCGAACAGGGAATGCCGCCTACAGCAATGGCTGATCCCTCCAATGAGAACCTCCAAGATCATCATACCCAACTCATCAATCGCCGCTATTAGCATCCTTTGACGAGCTCTGGCGTTGGGCATATCCACATCATCCTTGCGCAACTAGCATGGAGACCTGGGCAATGCTTGACAACTTGGTCAATAATTCACGGTCACAGTTACGTTGTCCAGACAGCGGGAATTCGGTATACTGGACAGCACGTTGCACAGCGGTATTAACACGCCTCTGCCAGAGCTCGTCTCTCTTCCAAAGCAAATTGAGACCTCTCTCTCTCTCTCAGAGCAGCACCGATAATGAAACCCACCACTCTCATCTGCGGTTATACCTTAGGCCGCCGGGCCGGTGACCACCCACCATGGATGACGAGTATGGGACGCAACTATTCATCATTGGGTCACGCACCCACTTGGCTCAGTCTCTCTACGTGTTGTGATAAGACATACAGGGAGGCCAGCAAGAGGTGTGCAATCACGCCACGCAGTCAACGCCAAGGTCGGATCGAGCACCGAGTGTGCCCTTTTTGCTAGAGGATGGGCGGGGAAAGCTTTGTGCTCTGGCTTGTTTCATTGCACATGTCCGCCACCCATGTCAAGGCTGGCTCCAGTCTTTCCGTGCGGAGGTAGCCACACGGGGGGTTCACTGCTACTGGCGTGAGATACAGCAATCTGGGACTGGCCCGAGGGCTACCCCAGCGCATGGAGATGCGGTTGCCATCATGGAGAAATGACGAAAGGTGCGTATCCTGCTGCCACATCAACTTTGCGTTATTTCCGTACACGGTCAGTTTCACGGAACTGAAGCTTGCATAAACGACGGGCTTCCTCACACACATCAATTGGGCTGGAAGATCTCTGAGCTAGTAGGTCCTGCTTAGTTGTAAACACCACGACCCATGTGTGTGGGGTCTCCGGCTCGATTGTGAAGCTAGACCTAGAGGATACAGCTCTAGGTCAATCAGCTACCCTCCAGGACCATGCAGTTGTGGACCATATTCGGAGCTCTGCAGTGCTTCTACCTTCCCACTGCTGCAAGTTGGGCGGCTACGCTCTCTGGCCCCAGTTGACTTCTGGCCTTGAAAATGGCTCAAGCTAGCATCAGGCCTCGAGCTGAAAGACCGGAACCAAAGAAAAAGAAAGGAAAAGTATATCTTCTCTGATTTTCGGGTCATCTCAGCTTGGCTGAAAAGGGAAGAAGGCTGAGAACCAGCATGTGATTAATGATATATCTGAAGTGACAGGGTGCGGCGGATTCCTCCCGTCCATATGACCGATACGTTCATGCTCATGGTACTTGCCAAAGTAGCCCCCAAAGGACCCTTGATCTCGACAGGAAGCCCAGATGTCCATCCGGGATCGGGGAAGCTTGCCACCAAAAAGATCATGTGGAACGATTTATTGAATTGATGCATATCCAGGAATAAGGCCGAGATAAGGTTAAAAGCGGCCAGCTCGGAGACGTTTTGTCCGCCTGGAACGTAGTGGTAGACAGGTTGACCATATTCATGTATTACTCGGAAATGCGTTGACAACTATGTTGGTACAGTAGCAATTACAGCCTCAAACATCCACGGATCAAACATGCTGTATACGCAAGAAATTACTTGGGTTCTCGGATATATGGAGGACTATCGGAGCCGATTGCCACCGTCCTTGTTTCCAATTAGAGCGTGCATATTTCAGCCGCCACCGTCAAAGGCGAAAAAGAAACGTGCAACAATCTGATCAATGAGATGCCTAGAGCCTCATGTGTACCATATACAAAGCAATGTGTCTCTACCCAACCACCCCAGGTACTGCGACACGCAGGACATCGGCACCGAAGTGGTGCCGTTTTACACCCCCACCAATAGGTGAGTGTGGTGTGCGCCTGCGTGAGAGAAAGCGAACAAGAAAGTGAACGGGTTGGAGTATCTCTACCACGAACCCCGCACTTGGCCCAAGTCTTGACCCGAGTCCAGGGTCCCCCAACAAGAGGGTTTTAAACAAGGATTTGAACCCATTCCCGCCCGACATTCAGCACAGGAGGCGATTTCTAATTCTTAGCTCAGTGTTACACAGGCTTGATAGGGCAAGCCGGTGTGTATGTCGCTGTGGGTACTGCGGCTCGCTAATGAATCATGGGGGGTTGATTGATAAGAGCGGTTGTCCGTGATGATCGTGTACACATGTGGCAACTTGTCGAGGCGAACAATGTTCAAGAAGGGTTATGCATGTCTTCACCGGTCGAGCGATAGTTTAACTCTGTTAAGAGTAACATTGCATACAAAATGGCAACCAACGACTGGACAACTGGATGCGTTGGAAGTGGACGTAGGGTACAGGGTAGCTGCCAACAGAAGGGCTAGACCGGCCCAGAGAAGACCTAGATCTAGACCATGCAACAATACAGCTCACAAGAGTCGGCAACGCCGGTTATTAATAATATGATATTACTATTGCAGCTGAGACAATTTTGATGCTTCTGCCAATGAAAGGTGCGTGCCTTCGGATACGATGGCTCTCTGACTTGGGGGTTAGTTTCCTGGTCGGCTAGGTTTGAACGGATGCGGAATAGACTACGTGGTTGCACTTCCGTTTTTCCAGTAAGGTTATTAATAATGTCTGGGTTTGGCATGCGAAGCATACCAAGTGGGAGGCTGTCACTGCGCACCAGAGATTGGATGCTACCTCGCCCTGGGCTGGAAGGCTGGCCGCCACCGATCAGGACCGAGCGGAATCGTGCTGACCACGAGGGTAGATGACTCACCAGCCACAAGCCTCTTCTGCCGGGCTTGTGTGCAAACAGCTAGTCTTGGTACTGTAGTGCGAGAATAAGCTGGTCTCTGGCATTTCTCGGAGCAATGACGTTCGGCAAATTCGTTCGTAGTGGATGAAGATCGGCTCTTGCAATTCTTACCTGCCTTTTACTAACTCACCTCGACTAGCCTCAATGGAGGGGCGGCCATTTCCTGTGACCTTGCACAACTCTGTAGCCAGACTCCTCGGCCAGCCCCTCGCCATTTCTCTTCCCATCTGCAGCTACTGAACTCCTGAATGGCATGCGGCTCCATGGCACCGTAGCGCCCTGCCCGACGCCGCGTTGAAACGAGACGAGCCGAGACGAGACACCCGGCGCAGCAACCAATAACGACTCGACGTTGGCTCCGGTTCCCCTCTGCTCAGCCAGAATCATCCCGCCATCCCGACGCAAATCACCATGGCGAGCGCATTCAAGCTGGACGGCCAGGGATCGGCGCATGGCAATACCAGCACCCCGTCGCCGCAGATGCATCATCTTGACAGCCCTTCCAATGCTACCGTCTACCAGACCACCGGGCCCGACGCCCACACCAGCCCACTCCTGGCCACCGATGGCTCCGGGCCTGCGATGAACCCCCGATCCTGTGTGACATGCCGCCGACGCAAGGTCCGCTGCGATAAGCAGATGCCGTGTTCCAACTGCCGCCGCGCCCTGATTCCCTGCGTCTTCCCCGCCCCAGGGCGAGCTCCCCGCCAGCCGCGACCGAGAGACCCCAACGCCCCTCCCAAGAACACGAGCCAGCGTGAGGCCGAGCTGGTCAAGAGATTGAGGAAATTGGAGGGAATTGTGGAGGAGCTGAGCGGCCAGATTGACTTCGAGGGCGTTGCCAAGGCCTCTTCCCCGGGCGAGTCCCCCGAGGCGTCGAATCCGGGTGCTGCCGGCGTCAGGCGAACGTCTTCAAATATCCAGGGCAGCATCTCGAGAAGAAGCACAGAAAAAAATGCGCCGGGATCTTCTGGCTCTGGTCCAAGCCCGAAGGATACCGACTCTGTGAGCGACATGGGCAGCGACGCAGCGCACAAGAGGGATGTCAGTCAGCAACTGGGTCGGTTGGTCCTGAATGATCACAAGGGAAGCACTCGATACGTGAGCTATGGCTTCTGGTCGAAACTGAATGACGAGGTAAGATTGGAGATATATAGCATTCTTAGACTTCGTATCTGACCCCGGGGCGCAGCTTGAATCATTGAGAAACGATTATCAGAAAGTGACCGATGAAGAGTCGGACTATTCAGACTACGAGGAGACGCCTGTTCACAGCCCGGAAGGCCCGCCTGGTTCCTCTGGAGATCACCATGCTTTCATTTTTGGCTACAAATCAGCCGATGTCGATTTGCGGGGTTGTCACCCGCTCCCCTCTCACATACCTTATCTGTGGTCTGTCTTCCGAGAAAACGTCGACCCGTTAATTAAAATCCTGCATGTTCCCACGGGGGAAGAAATACTACGAGATGCGAGGAAGAACCCTTCCATTCTCTCTCCTGGAAATGCGGCCTTGGTGTTTGCCATATACTACAGTGCCGTGGTCTCTATGGAACCTGATGAGGTAAATCAACCCGTTTTGATTTGGTCCTAAGTGAATTGGATGAGCCTGGGATATTAACGAGTAGTTGTCAGGTTCGAACAAACTTTAATTCTGAGAAGGACGACTTATTGAAGAGATATCGATTTGCTCTGGAGCAGTCGCTCGCAAAAGCTGATTTTCTAAACTCTTCCGAGTTGGTTGTGCTCCAGGCTTTTACTATATTTATCACAGTGGTTAGGCGGTTCGACCGAAGCCGGTTTTGCTGGACCCTGCTCGCTCTTCTGATCCGAATCGCCCATGGCATGGGGCTTCATCGTGATGGATCCCAGCTAGGCCTCACTCCATTCGAAACGGAAATGAGAAGGCGGTTGTGGTGGGGGATCCTGGCCCTCGACCTTCGATCTGCAGAAGAGCTGGGGACTGAATTGTCGATTTCAGAAACGTCATATGATACCCAATTGTTCTTAAACATCAACGACTCCGACATCCACCCGGCCATGAAGGAGCCTCCTGCGCCACGAGAGGGAAGAACTGACACCTCAACAGTTCTTACCCGCTATGAGATGATGGTTCTTACACGCCGCCTCTTCACAGATATACCTTCGAAGAATAATCAGATCTCGCATGCCGACCTTGTTAACATGCAAACGCAACTCTATCAACGTATCAAAGAGCGATACCTTTCTCACGCTAAAGGTGATTCAGATCCGCTATGGTGGATGGGTGCCACGGTCATTCGTATTATCATGGCAAAGATGCGCCTGTTCATGTACCAACAGAGCATGTTTCCCGGTGCCGACGCAGGGCTCTCTTGTGATATTCGTCAGAGCATCTATCTTGCTTCCATTGAAATTTTGGAGCTCTCTGAAAAGCTGGATTCGGACGCTAAATGCAAGCAGTACAAATGGCTGTTCCTAACATACAGCAACTGGTTTTGCCTCGCGTTCAATCTCATCGAGACTTGCCGCCGGCCTTGGACCCCTCTCGTTGAGCGTGCCTGGGAAATTGTTACCCATTTTGACAACGACTCAATTCATTTCACCAAAAATCCAGGCCACTCGGCCATCCTGCTACCTATGCACAAACTTTTTGCCCGCGCGAAAAGGCACCGGGCAGCTGAACTTGCTCGGTTCCAGGCCAACCCAGAGGAGGCCCGGCACCTTGATTTCGAGGAGCAATTACATCCTACCGATAGCCGCTTCGGACCTATCCCCGGCTACGAGACACGTATGGATGATGTCAGGCAGAGATGGTGGTTTATGATATCACCTGAAGGAGGAAAACTACCTTCGGTTGAACAAATCCGGGCTGCCGCGCAAGCGGCTGACGATGGGACCCAGCCACAGCCGCTTACTGACCCAACGAGAACAACGGATATGTTTCAGCAGAACGAGATCCCTGGAAATCTGGAATTTCCGGACGAGGCCATGGGGATCATGGATGAGATCATGTCACAGCCTAACCTGCCGCTATCAGCTCTCTGGCCTCTACACGAGATTGGCGGCGCCGTTAAAAGCCAACTCGGCTCTTCTCTTGCAGCGGATCCAAGCGCTGTAAACCAGCAAATGGCCAACAACTCACTCAGTCAAGAAGTATTATCTTTAAAGCAGCAGGCAGCTGCCCGGAAGGAGAGCACCCATGTGCCCCCCTATCTTTGGACTGGCACCTACGATTATCCAGCACAGACCGTCACGACGGCAAATATGCCCAGTACGCAACCCGTGGACATGGAAATGCTTGACGCAGGTTTTGACTGGCGGGATTGGGGTCAGAACCTTCATAATCTAGATATGAGTGGTATGCCATAATGTCCTGGATTATGTTTAGGAGCATCCAATACATAACACCATTCTTGGTGAAATATTTGGTTTCAGCTGCAAACCATCATGCGAACACGAAAAGGCAGAAGGAAAAAAAATTACAGCATTCTTAGAGGCGATGGAGTTTTGGTAGCGTTGTATCAACTATGATTAGAATACCCTGGCTAGCTTGTGTCAAAATGCGTTTTGACCTGAGAGATGTATATTAGCAATCGTCTTTGACGGCTGTCAAGGCACATATTCCCCCCCAAAAAGTCAATACTCTATCTCCTCTTCTTCTAAGTAAACTCATCATTGCTGTGTTTATTGACCGATTAGGTATATATCCACCATCTTACCGTCTATAGCCGTGAGACCGCCCAGATCTAGAGTTTGTTCCCGCCAGCCTTCGCCTGCCGCTCCTCCTCCAATACATCCTGCCTCAGCCGAATCTCCACCTCTGTCGGCCCGGCCTTTGTGAACCGGACCAGCACGACCCTCTCCCAGTCGCCCCCCCTCGCCGTGCCCTTCAGCTCGGGGCCCGGCTTGTCAATACCCAGGACGATCCTCCCGTCGCTCGCGCGGATGAACAGGTTGTGCGGGCTCATGACCTTGTCCGCCCAGCTGATCCGCGACGTCGGGTGCTCCTTTCCCTTGGGCGTCTCGGCCGTGGGCACGCTCTCTAGGAAGGAGAGCAGCCCCTCCCGCTGCGAGGTGTACTCCTCCAGGCTGGCCTCGGCGGCGGCGGCGATGAACCGGGTCAGCAGGACCAGGAGGAAGGCCTGGGGCGGGAAGAGGATGATCTCCTTCTTGGCGGCGAGAGAGAGGAAGTGCTGGGCCGGGGCGAAGACGGCGGCCGTGTGCTCGACCCCGCCGTCCGGGGTGGGCACGAGCATCTCCGACGGGAGGTTGCTGGCCAGGGGCAGCATGTAGAGGTACATTTGGGTGGTGAAGCGTTTGGGGACGTTGGTTGGTGTGATCCAGCGTGTGAAGGGGCGAAGGTTGGCTAGGTAAGGAACAAAGAATATTAATATTTATGGATGTACAAGGTAGAAGTGGGATATATACGCACATGTGTCTGGAACGGCGTTTATGCTCTCTAGCCAGTCACCAAACTTGATCTGGTTGTTATGGATCTTCTTGCGGGCAACTTGGATCTCCTCGGACGGGAGCGCGATCAAGTCGTCGCCACCATTCTTGGCTTTAGCGAGCAAGATCCCGGTCTCCTCGAAGCACTCTCTAATGGCGCCGATCCTGTAAGCTTCACCATCTTCGTGTCTTCCTGGCGAGTCTACGTCAGGGACGGCGCCGTCATGATAAGGATCAAGGTTGCCGCCGGGGAAGACATGGGCAGAAGCGAAGGAAGTCGACGTCTGTACACGGTGGAGTAGGAGGACCTGGTTGGATGGAGAGAGTAGGACGACAGATGAACTGGGCCGAGGATGGCTAATGGGTTTGGGCGAAGCAGTGGATGACTGGCGGCGGCCACTCATGGTGATGGGAGCGATGTGGTGAGTGCTCTGGGGCTGATTGGAAGATGGGAATGTTGAGGCTAGAATGACGGCCCTGCACCCTAACGTACGGGCTGCATTGGAGGAGAGGAAATGGGTTATTAGTCTCCCGGGCGAAAGAAGAGCTAAGGACATGACATGTGGGAGAGCGGGCAGGGGACCGATCCCATCGAGATACTATCCATCTACAACCTGGGCCTTGTGTTGGTGGAAGTCGTAGTTGAGCGCTGTCCGGGGATGTGGGTATCAAATTGCGGGGGACCAAGTGCCGAGGTCCGTCGCTTAAGCCGCTGTAATGCGCCTAATCAGCATGTTCTTAGCACCATGTCGTCAATGATCAAGATCTGGGCCTGCCTATAACTGAAAATAATATTCAATCGATCCCATAAATGGGTTTCACAATCCCCCGTTGCTATCTCGATCTATTTATGAAGTCGTGTTATCATGATATGTAAGGGAGTAGGTATGTAAATTCGTTTCAATCCAGTTAAACGCCGAATAATGAGGGCCCGTAGACAAGAACGCCACCAAACCATCTGGGCGGTCCAATGTATATCTCCTGCTTGGAGAGTTCATCGTTTGAAGCCATTTCAATATCGCTTTCGCTCCTTCCCCCGCAAGTTCACCCTCCATAAACAGCAAATGCTCTTCGATTCGCACCACTTCTTTACTTCCCCAGGACTCACTTCAGTATCACGCCCAACCCGTGTTAACTGTCCCAGATTGAGCCATGCTGTGAGATCTTCAAGCACAATTGGATCATAGAGCAGTATCTTTTCATGCCAACTCGGGTTTGCTGGGTCTGTTGATCTGGGGGCCGTGACCACCGCCGTAGATATATATTCAAAAAGAGATGCCTCGTCCTCACTATTAGATACTGATAAGGATAGCTCCGTATCCTCGTTGATAGAAGCAGATAGATCCATCGGCATGGGTGGTGGGGATGATGTTAATTCAGGTGAAGAACTTGAAGATATTGATGAGTTATCATCATTGTCCGATTCCGAGTCTGGAATCTCTATCACGGTTCTAGTTGTAGAACTCTTGGGCTTCGGCGCAGCGGATCCAGTCTCTAGGCCAACTGGCGGCGACTTTCTTGGCCGGCCGCGCCCTCTTTTGGGAGATTCCTGGGTGGGAACAGCATCAACCGGCTGCTTCGATTTAAGCGATGCCGCGCTCGATTTCGGTTTTCTAGTTGCTTTTCGAGGTTTTGGTGGCGAGGAAGGCGGTTGTCCCGATGGAGGTGGTACTTGCTCATGCTCCATCGTAGGAGTAGGACTCTTCCTTGGACGTCCTCGTGGCCGTTTGGGGCTTGGCGGCTTTTCCGTCACTTGGCTTGGGTTGCCTCTGGGATGAAATGCAGTTGCTGAGGTGGTTAGAGTCCTTGCACTAGTCCCAGCCCCACCAACTTTACTTCGCCAGCACTGCTCCAGAAGTGATATCATAGCTGCTCTTTTCTTCACTGGTTTAAATCCATATGAAGCAAATTCCTTTGCAAGTTGAGCATCCGTGAAAAGCTCATATGAAGGACATGGTGGTGTTGCTTCTGGGTCTTGTGGTGTATTGCTTTCAAACCCAGTGCTAGGCAGTTTGCTTGCGCTTGATGACGTTTTGCCTGACTGGACTCCGGGCACGTCTTTCGGTTTCTGGCCATCGGTGTCAATTACTTGACGGCTGGAAAAGGGGCTCGGTTCGTCTTCGGGTACTGATACTTTTGGGTTGGTGGGTGGTAGTATGTCTGAAAGAGTCTCAAAAGTCTCGTCGACACGATCCGTAGTTATCCCTGACAGTGGTGGTAGTGAGGGCTCATTCTCGGCTCCAATGTAGCCAAATGGATCTTTGGGAACTTCACTTTGTGGGGGGCTTGACGGGTTTCCCACAAGGTCTACAATTTCTACATCAAACAAGTCTCCGTCCAAATTCCTCGCAGCTGCTTCCCATAATTTGGGCTTTTGTACCTGGGGCTCAACCAAGTCGCTATTAACGGGAACGTCCAGGATGTGTGAATCATCGAATTCGACTGAACTCTTCATAGCCGCCTGAATCTGACGCAAGAGCGTGGGGGATTGCTCTCTTGCAAGTTGGCTTGAAGTACCGAAAAGAAAATTTTGATTCTCTGCCGCTTTCAAGGCGGTATTCGGTGAGAGAAGGACAGCCTTTTTCGGCTCTCTCTTTTTGGCTGGCTTTGCTGCTTTCTTGCGAGGTTTCGATTTCGCCTTGCCGTTGGCAGTGGGGCCGGCAAGATCAGTAGATTTGCTCTCAGTCTCTCCGGCGACTGTTGCAGAAGCTTCGGCAACCACGTCATTGGTCGGAAGCTTATACGCAGCAGTGGCCAGTTCAGTAATGGTGCGGGGCTTTTTCTTGGGGGCCTTGGGCTTCGTTGGGGACTCTTCTTGGGGTTCAGGAGTCGTGGAGTTCGCGCTGGTAGCAGGGACAAGCTCGATGAGCTTGCGCTTGTTCAGAAATCCCGAATTCTCGGCATTTGGAATCGGCCTATAGTTTTCTTCTGGCGCTTCATATCCACACCCAGCCAAAATAGTCTTCAACCCTGTGACTTGCTCCTCGTCCCTAAACGGAGATGTCCCGATTTCAAATACTGACGCCAAATTATCACAAATAGCTTTCTTTGTTTCTGGAGGAGTCCAGTCCAATCTTCGAGCCACGGCCTGCTCCAGATTGAGTGGCAAAGATGGGTCCTCTTTTGCGCCCATCTTTTCAGGGTGCGATTTGGGCGTTTCGAGAGGTTGACCTTCCATGATTGACTTAGAATTTTCATCCACCATCACGACGCAATCTTCTGAATCCGGAATGTTCGAGACAAATCTCGGAGGCCTCGACATTATTCCTCCTTCCATTTCTATTCTAGGCGGTGATATTTTGTATGCCTTCCAAGGCTGGTCTGGTGACCGGTGACCTTGGCCCAAGACATCGGAAGGGCCAGGCTTCGATGATTCATTTGGAAATTGAACCCGAGAATTATGATATTTTTCGGTAGGGGGTGTGTCATCAATGACCACAGGCGTTTCAATAGACGATGTCAACTTCCAATATTTCGATGTCGAGGCATTCGGCCTTTTACGTTCTTTGGTAGTCGCCGGGGGTTTCGATGCAGTAATGTCCGAGCCTTTCCTCGTTGTCCCTTTGCTAAGTTGCTTCGATGCATTGGATGTTTGAGACAAAAGGTCCTTGAAAGGGGGTAGATCAGGCGAGGAGGACTCGATGACGAAAGCATCACGACTCGTTGCTTGCCGAGAAGGCGATGTGAAGGCATTATGCGAGGCCATCATGCCTCGCACGTAGCTCCGAGTGCGCAAAGCGCATCTCAAAGACCCGGGGCACAGCGTGTTGGCTAGCCGCGGTAGAGGCCTTCGGAGGAAAGGTACCAATCTCTGCCGCATGTCATCTTCAAGGTCTGTCCTATCAATGGATTGGAGGCCACGCGGGCCGATAGAGTGGGGTTGGCGTTCGCGAGAATAGCGCGGTATCAGCTGACTTTACACGTGACGCACACAAAGCCCTCGAGCCCCACGAAAATGTGCAACACCACCAAAAAACTAGCGAACATTTTGGAACATCCCACTCCAGCGCTGCCAAACGACTTCACCCACGTCAATTAACAAATCGACCCCCCCCATACCGTCAAAATGGAGAACGACCGTGGCGAGATCGTCGACCTGTAAGGATACAACATTCATCGGACTCAATTCGCAAAGCAGACGGCTGACCTCTGATATCTAGTTACGTCCCGCGCAAGTGCAGCGCCACCAACCGCATCATCAAGGCCAAGGATCACGGCTCCGTCCAGATCTCCATCGCCAAGGTTGACGAGAACGGCCGTGCCGTCACCGGCGAGAACCACGTCTACGCCCTCTGCGGTTTCGTCCGTGCCATGGGCGAGAGCGACGACTCCGTGAACCGCCTCGCCCAGCGTGACGGTCTCCTCAAGAACGTCTGGAGCGGCCAGCGCATCTAAGGGGAAACAAAAAAAACTTGATGAGAGGTGGTTGGAGGAGGCATTAACGACACGTCGACGACGAAAGAACATTTTGGGCGTCAAGGATGTTTCTGGCTAAAATGAATAAAAAAGCCAGGATGGTCATAGCCTGGAGGCATGGCCGGTACTAGAGAGTTGGCTGCATCTAGCAATTCCAATTCAGGGCGTTCGGCTCGATTCGAAATACATCCAATGTGTCTCCTTGTGTCCGTCTTCTATCAGTAATTGCGATCGCTTTACCACATCCCGGCTAGCAAAGTCTCCTCGGACTGGCTCGTGGCCACTTCTTGGCCGAGGATTCTGAGGCTACCTCGATAGTCTCCGTGCCGCAGATTAAGTTCTGGCCTTTAAAAAGCCGTGGCTGTTAAGTTCTTCACCATGGTACAGATACGGGTCAGACATGCCAAATTAAATACATCTATTTCAAAAGTGAACCAACGAGCAACTAGAATATGATACCTAACTGACAGAGCACTCAGCATTGCATAAAATTACATGCCGCTGCTAATTCCATCCTTGTATGCACTCAGTGCCTGCTCCCGCATCTCCTTGTGAACTACTACAGGCCGAGGGTACCCGTTCTTCTTAGCTGCAGCCTCTGCCCCGCGTGCGTATGGCTCATGAATCGCCTTGCCCTGGATGGACGCAAGTTCTGGAACCCATTTCCGAATATACTCTCCATCCGGATCGAACTTCTCACTTTGCAGGAGAGGGTTGAATATACGGAAGTAGGGTTGCGGATCCACGCCAACGCTGGCGCTGAACCCCCAGCCCCCGTTGTTGCTTGCAAAATCACCATCTACGAGATGTTCCATGAAATATCTCTCTCCTTTGCGCCAGTCGATGAGCAAGTCCTTGGCCAGGAATGATGCAACAATCATTCGACAGCGGTTATGCATGTAACCCAAGTGATTAAGCTGGCGCATGGCAGCATCCACAATAGGAAACCCAGTCTTGCCTTCGCACCAAGCCTTGAAGTGATCTTCATCATATGACCACGAGATGTTGGCATATTCGGGTTTGAATGGTTTGTTCATACTAGCTCATGTCAGCAACCTTGGCTTGAGGAACCCATGGACTGGAACTTACCAGATGTACGGCCAGTGGACGAGAACATGCTTGTAGAAATCACGCCAGGCAACTTCACTAATCCACGTTTGGATTCCGTCATTGCCTGCGTTCAGCTTTTTCGTCTTATTCCTATCTCTAGCCACTCGCACGCACGTTCTTGCGCTGATTGTGCCGCTCGCAAGATGGACAGACAAGCTCGAAGTGCCATTGGCGGCTGGAATGTTGCGCTGATCGTGATAATTGCCAATTAGCTCCTGGCAGAACTTGTCAAGTCGCTTCATCGCCTCATGCTCTCCACAGGGCCAAATAGAACGAAATCTTGTCTTCTCTTTGTCGCTCAGTGACTTGTTCTCAGGAGCCTCGGGAATAGGACAGTCGAACAGAGCCTTGTACTTGCTGCGAGCGGCACCTGCATTCTTGGATGGGGGGTCATAGAGCTCAACTAAGTCAAGATTTTCATGGACGTGGGCAACCCATGTACGATACCAGGGAGTGTAGACGGCGTATTGGTTCCCGGAGCCGCTGGCGAGGTTCCCAGGAGGTACAACACAGGAGTCATGCACAACCTCGAATGACTTGTCATTCTCAGCCAGATCTCGCACCATACGAGCTTCCCTTCGAAGCTCATCAACTTCATATTCCATATTTGCGTAAATGTGGTTCGCTCCCCACTCTTCCATCAGCTCCAGGACACGGCCAGGTATCTTTTTGCGCTTCTCGACAGTCTCGACATAGAGAGGAATGTCCAGTTTGGCCAAGTCTTGCTTCAGCACCTCCAATGTCCGTAACATGAAGTCCACGCGTACAGGTGCTCTCAAATGCGCCTCGAAGTCTTGTGGGCTGACCAGATATAGGCAGATTAGAGGAACTCCGGCTGCCTGAGCCTTGTCGCTCGCAAGTGCCAGGGCTCTGTTGTCGGCATGTCGCAGATCCATCTTGAACCAATGGATGACAGAGTCTTTCACGTCTATCTTCTTTCTCGAGCTTCCAGTTTCCTTCATGGCCGAATAAAGCTCCTCAATTGGCCGTGCAATCTCATTGGCATTGTAGGCGAGAGCACGGTCAGTGCTCATCTCTGGGGGGTAGTATTTTCGCAGGACGATGCCATGAGTTTCAGCTTCCTCGGCCGCCGGGTGAGGATGACTGAGATTGGAAGCCCTATTGGTGCTCCCATTGTTGGGCTTGGACTTCTTTGGGAGAGTCCCATTCTGTGAGCTTGCTGGTTGGCGGCGCTTAGCCATCTTGGCAGCTGCGTTTGTGAAGCACCGGGAAGATGATAAGTTCAGGCCAAAAGTCTGAATCGAATATATGTGATGTGCCCTGTTCAAGTAAACCGGAAATCTTTGCGGAGCTGAAACGGCGGCAAGCATGGAATGGAAGAATCGTGCAGTGTTACGCAAGGGGCACCGCGAACGGAAGTACACGAGAAACTAGAGACGGGGGGCATATTGTTCATTACTATGGCGACGCGTTGCTTTTTCTAATACGCCTTCTATTTCCTTCTCATCGAGCGGTACTTGAGATTAGGAGGGGATGTGGTGGTAGAGAATGTATAGCTGAGCGATCTCCTCGATTGTTGCACTTGGTGAACCGCCTGTAGATCGATGACGCTAATAAGGGCCTCCCTAGTGCCCTACTTACAGGAACGGCTTAGTAACCTAAAGGCAGGCTGCATTCTGGGGTTTGCATGTGCTTGCACCGCCACAGACAGCTAAGACTGATGTGGCTGGTGTATTCCAACCTGGCAGACAGGCAACGAACAAGTGTCTGGAAACCTGGTCACTCTGGTGACAAATAGGCAGGCAGTATGGATTAGATGTTATTAAATCAGAGAAGGCCAACAAAATTTTGATAGTTCCCTGAAACATGACCATAAAAAGTGCCAGATTAATACATGCCAAGATGTGTAGTCGTGCTCGCCCAGAAGCAACGTAAATCAAAACTTAAAAAGAATACACTTGATCCGATGCCATGAAATAACCAAAAAATCCTGAAATATACACACGAATTGTCGACAAACATCGAATTGCGAACGAGATTCAAGGACGTTGATGTCAACAAACGAGTGCCATTGATGATATAGGGTAGGCCGGCATGGCGCAATGCCCTAAGGTTGTAGGCAGACGCGCCTGTCAGCAGATTCAGTTGCCCGCCCAATGACAACAACACGGCAGCAACAGTTCATCAATATAACCGGACTCTTATCTCTGTCTTCTCGAAATATTTAATAAATTTCAGAAGCTCTCTAATTTTACTCACTGAGTAGCCAGACGGTCTTCACCTGGCAGTTTCCCGCTATTATACAAGGCCCGGCGCTTCTGGTAGTGGATAGTCTCGGCGTGCCTCGTCTTGTTTTATTTATTTCTAGCCTTGAGTCTACGCTTTTGTTTCAATACCGTTGTCTGGGCTCAAAATGGGTTCGGATCCGGCGTGGCGACCGCTGCCTCTGCCCTCAGAAGCAGAGCTGCCTGCGCTACTGGTTTCTTTCCAGGTGGAGGCTGCTTCGTACACTGTTCGTGTTACCGATATGGCGAACATGTGGATTGAGAGTCTGGATCGCAAAGCCATTTGTATGCGAGGATGGGGGGAGAACACAAGTATTGACCCAAGCGATACCCCCGAGAACATGGCGAAGTTCTTGTCAAGCATTCATTCCGCTCTCGACCCGTCTCTTGCAGGCCATGATCAAACATCCATGACCCTCTCCCAAGGCTCCATGTCTGATGCGGGAGAGGGAGGCTTAACTCTGAGGATAACATGTGATTTGCCTGGACTCCCTGCCCTGAAGTGGCCTGTCCATCTGAAAAAGGCACCATCCTCGTCCATCACCTCAAACCTCGTGCTCCCACTTATCCAGGCCCATTATCTGAGGCAAAGAGAGCTGGACTCCTTGGCCAGCTTGCTGCATCAGAAAGACCAAGTCATCACGAAATTGCTGGATAAACTAGAAGCCGTTGGCACGGGACTGGAACATATATTCAACCCTCTTTCAGGAAAAAAGAAGGTCAGCAGGGCAGTCGCAGAGGATAAAGTGAAAGGTCTGGCTCCATTCAACAGGCCCCAATGGGGAAAGGAGTTGTGGGACTCAGAAGGTGCCCCAAGAGACATTTCTGAGATGACCTCCAAAGTTTTCGACAAAGATTCTATCAAGATCGACGCTGCATTAACTGTCGAGGATTCTCCGAAACTCGACATGTGGTGGCGGGATTTCCAAGACAC